TAATAGTAATAATCATGTTGAAAACTGAGATGTTACAGGACTTAAGGAAATCATTGATATTTTATCCTCTATTTTTTTTTGCATGTTTTAGACTGTTGAACTACTCCATTAAATAGTTGTCCCTTTTTTTGTTTTTTATAGTATTTTGTTGAGAACATATTGCTCTTATAAATGCACATTAACTTTATGTGAGTAGTTAGAGAAAAATTAGGTAGACATTAAAAATAAATACACACATTGTTCAAGAAACATGTATTAATTATTAAGGGTAAAAATGGAAGAAAAAAATTAATAACTCATTGATTTTAGTAATATGACAATGAAAAAATGAAAAGAAAACAACAAACCCTAACAAAACGACTATGAAAAAAAAACAGAGGGAGTAATTTTATTTATTCTTTGTATTTAATTAGTTGTTACTTATTGTTCTGTTTTAATTTTATAATATTTATTATGTTATTGATATTAATTTTATTGATAAATTTAAATATTTTTTTTCTTGTGTTCTATTAAATTTATTTCTCTAACAATATGAATTGCATGCTTACTTGTGTTTAGTCATTGTTTATTCTTGTTTTAAACTTGTCCATTGGCAGACCCATGAACTTGACCCGAGACCTAATTGATATGGTTATAAGTGTAAGGCGAATATAAATAATTTATAAATTTAAACTAATCCAAATTAATATAATGAGTTTAGGTTAAAAATTTTAAATATTCATATTAGATTCAATTTAACTTAATTAAAATTTGATATGGTATGGATCAAATAATAATTTTGTATTTTTTTGACTCATAATATAATTTGATCCGATAATAATAATAATAATAAATTATTGTAATTATTTCTTCATAACAATATTCATTATTGTCACTATTATTTAGTTGCGAATATTGTGTTTTTGAATTGACAGCATTGTCATAATACAATATATTTATTTTATATTAATATTAGTTGTTTAAATGAATAGTAATGTAATAAATTAATAAATTTATTTTAAAATTTAATTTATATCATTATTTGTTTTAGTAATTGATAACATTACATTTATAATGAATTTGGTTATATTTAAAAAAATATATATCTAAACTCGACTCAATCCAACCTATTAAATTTTCATCGGATCAGATAACAAATTTATTTAAATCCACCTCATTCCAACTCAATTACATCTTTAGATTTGGTCATGTTTGATTATATCGGGTAGAAATACTTTTTTTCTTCCTTTATATAACTATTTATTATGAAATTTCTTTTAATAATTTTCTGTAATTTTTTTTTTCTTTTTCTTTATTTGTTTTCATATATGTAAGATTAAAAACTATGTAAGCTACTCTCTTCGCTAAAACTTTCAATGATTTTTTTTCTTTGCGAACACATCCAAATTACTTCAACTAATTTTCTATCATTTTTTTTACAAGTGTCACACCAATATCTTTATCCAAATCACTTCAACTAATTTTCTATCATTTTTTTTACAAGTGTGTGTCCCACCAATATCTTTAGTTACAGTCTTTTAAAATTTGGAGTATGAAGAGACACTTGGATAATTACCTAATACCTCATTCGAGTTAATGACCAAATTTAGTTGAATAACATTGCTTAAAGTGAAAATAATTTTATGATATATATGGAAGATTGAACCTGATATTTGCTGGAAAAAAATATTTTACTTTATTTATTTTATGTTATTTTTGAAAGGTCAAAATCTGGACATTGAATGGTACATACATAATAGACTTAAATATGTTCAAACTACCTTTAATTAGGCCGATTTTTAAATTATTACTTATTAAAAAATATTATTTAAATTACTTGACTAATTTATTTATTTTTTCAATTCAATACCTGACTTTAGTTCTCCTCCGTTAAGTGATGACGTGACTGGCAGACTGCCACGTCATCACCAAACAATATTTGCCACATCATCTAAAAGACTACCAAGTGGACATTTAGATGACGTGACAGTTTGCCAGTCATGTCATCACTTGACAGAAGAGGATTAATTTCAGGTACTAAATTAAAAAATTTAGTCAGGTATTTAAAACAAAAAAATAAATTAATAGGTAATAATCTGAAAATCGACCTAATTGAAGGTAGTTTGAACATATTTAAGCCGCACTTAATTCATGACACAATATAAAACATTTATTGCTTTTGCTTCTAGTTACAAGTGTTTCATGTCTTATTCATTGTATTAATCTTTACTTTTCTCCACTTCTTTATTGTCCATTATCTTTGTTGGAATTTTTGGTCCATTTTTTATGACAAACCAAAGTTTAAAGTCGACGGATTGTATGAATATTCACATACACTCGTTCCACTCAGTGTAATTTATGTCATCGAAATATGGTGGCCTCAAAATAAGTTGTCCTTCAGTGACGATTTTCATATTACTACCTCCAATTAGGTCAATTTTCATATTACTACCTTCAATTAGGTCGGTTTTCAAATTACTACCTATTAATTTATTATTTTTTGTTTTAAATACCTGACTAATTTTTTTTTTCAATTTAATACCTAACGTTAATCCCCCTCTATCAAGTGGTGACGTGGCTGATGGACTGTCACGTTATCACCCAACAATGTCTGCCATGTCATCTAAATATCCACATGGTAGTCCTTAAGATAACGTGGCAAACACTGTTGGGTGATGACGTGACAGTCTGTCAGCCACGTCATCACTTAACAGAGAAAGATTAACGTCAAGTACTAAATTAAAAAAAAATAGTTAAATAATTAAAATAATTTTTTTAATAAGTAATTTAAAAACTGACCTAATTGAAAGTAATTTGAACATATTTAAATTAAATTAATAATTATACATGGAAGTAAAATATAAGTGCAATCTGTTTAGACTGACTGGATTTGTTGTTGGACAGTCTAAATGACATAACACATTTAAGGAGTTATATAAATATACTTGTCCCAAAATAATAATTAAATTTTAGAGTTTAATTTGCATGTGTATACTAATAATCTAATCTGATTTTTATATTTCTTACATTTTAGGGTTATTCACATATTTTTAAGCATTATTTGATCTAAAAGATATACTTTAATACATAATCTGTTTGAAGCTAGAAAGTAAAAACACGAAAATGCACAGAAGAAGGTATGAACAGGGTTTTATTTTTTTCCTAGCTCCAAGTGGAAAAGATTCTGTATCAAATTTTCATTTCCCAATAAAAATTAAGATGAGTTTATAACCAAATTTGATGCTACGTAGTAAAGGACAAGGAATGAAAGCAAATTGCATTTGAATGAATCAAAGGACGAGGAATGAAAAGGCCCTTCACCCACCCAACCCCTACATTAATAATTGGTGACATATAAAGTGTGCATGAAAAAATTATATAAATTATTTAATAATTGATTATAAATTATAATTGAAATTATCTTTTGTTTGATTAAGTTTGTTATTGGATATACTAAAATAATTCTTATGGAGTTAACTAGCCTTATAAAAATACCAAAAAGATAATCATAAACTTCAAAGTTTTGGATGTGTGAAAATAGATTCTATTTTTCAGAAAGAAAAAATAACTATTTACAAATTTCAAATGTTATCTCAAACATATAAGTTTTCTTTTTCTTTTTTCAAACAATTTTTTTCTTCCAAAAAAAAAACAATCAAATTTGTGAGATAAAGATCAAGACTGTATCTTGATAGTGTGACATCGCATCTGACACAATGTTTTGTAGCATGTCCCAAAGTAAAGGGTTTGCTTAGGGACGAACTCTTCTAGACCCATAATTGAACAAGACTTGACAGAGTGACCTAATTAACTGGAATTTGGTAACTATTGCATATGGATAATAATACGTAGAGAATAACATGGTATTATTGTTATTGATATGTGCATCTAGGTGAATATGCACTTTGACTTGATATTTC